CTTTCCTGAAATGCAGAGTGGTTTCTAAATTACTTTTATAGGAGAGACAGACATAAAGGCTTGGAATCAAATTCTGCCCTGTCTCCTCTGTCTCTCTCTGCCTCCAAATCTTTTCCACTCACCTGTATTGAGGTGTTCTGTTTCCATTTAGGCTTCCTCCAAAAAAGGCCCAGATTTACAAAAGTGATGCAGTGTGTCCTTTTGGTAGTATTTAAGGTCACATTATCAGAACAGGTCAAGATTCAATTTTCCCTGTCTGTTCTGGAAAACCTAGCCACTTGTTTAGGTATTCAAATGGGAGCTGACCCAGTCGTAGAGTATTTCTAGCAAGGCGTTATTGAACATGACCTGCTTCTCTAAACAATGCGTCCTTCCAGTGCCGGGTGTCTGGATGCATTAGCTGGTATCTGAAGAAAATGACTGTGGCAGAACCTCATTTGTAAGTTTATTTAAGAGCTACTCAGCTATCCTGACATGAAATTTCCTCATTTGCTTCCAGTGAAACACTGTTTCTTTTGTCAGTTTTGGCTTTACAGACTGTGAGATAATGAATAGATACATTAATACATAGGACACAGAAGACATATGTGGAAATGTGTGTGTGTTTTTCCCTGTATGAATTTCATGACTATGTTGCCAGTTATGTTTATGGGCACAACGAGTCAGCTAAACATGTCTAGTACTTCCCATTCTAAACCCCCAGTTTTAGCAGCTTGCAATTTTTACGACATAAACGCCAGCATCTGGGCCAAGTAGTGCCGTATTAGTGCCGCCTCTGACAGTTTTAACCATTAGTCCCTCAAAGGGGAGCCATCCCAGACAAGTTTTGGCAAACGTGTTCATATTGCAAGGCATAAAGAGGCAAAGACAGTGCACCCATCGAAAAGCCCATGAGGATATTAATCACCTTGTATTTGGAATTCAGCTAATACGGTACTCAAGAGATGATGCTTAAGGACACACACTGACTGATGAAAGTAAAAAAGAAGTATTGAATAGAGCTGCCCATTCCTTGAACATGCTCTGCCCTGTACAGTGAATGCAGTAGTGTGCCTTGAATAGAAATAGTGACAAACACATCCCTAAATTGCAATCAAAAAGCGACTGAGCAGAAACTTTGTTCTGGCGTGCTCAGCATTTAACGATTTGATTAAATAACCTTAGGAAGGGTCTTTGGAGAAGAGGGCGAGAGGGATGATTACTTTTTGAAGGTATTAACAAAACCCCCATCAAAGCTGTTAGTCTACTACCCTTTTGAATGAAAACCAGAGGAAAAAAATGTTAAAGTACTCCAAGTTTACCTTAATTGCTAAGCCTTTAGTTCCTCTATTTCTGATCCACCACAAAGTGAAATGATTCCAGGTGTGCTAATTCAGTGAGTACTTTATACCAGTAGCTTCCAGCTGTGCTGTAAGGTTGGCATAGGGGAATATCTGCTCACGGTAGGCTGCAATCAGGCTGTCAGCTATTTAGGGGTGGGGGGACAGGAAGCAAACAAGAGAGTGATGGTCAGGGTTGCAGGTCATCAGAATATGATGAGAAGAAGTCAGCAGAAGTTCCTGAGGAGAAAGTTTTTGTGTCCCAGACTTCACTACTTCTGCAGGAACACTGCCCCTTCCAGACACTGCTGTGGCCATCTCAAATGTGGACTTTCTCCTTACTCTTCCCCTTCCCCGTGCTTCAATCCGCAGAAAGATTAACCCAGTGGGAATAAGCACACCACAGAGAGGCTTTCACTTTCAAACAAGCCCTGGTACCCTATGGCAGATAAGTGATATGATACAAATTCCCCTCAAATAGTCTGCCCTGTGGTGGTATTACTATTATTATTACTATTGTCATCACCATACTTTTTTACTTTTAGTCATTAATACCACTTATTTTCCACTATTTAATGTATGTTCAGACCAAACTCCTATCTTTTTAGTGCTCTGGGAGAATTTATTGGCAAATAATGTTTCAACACATTGCTATATCCTCTGCCACTAGTTCAGGCGTAGTGAAATACCTCCCTTATACTGGCGTGACTGTAGGACTCTCACCGTATACTCACTCATCTTTACATAACTTGTTTGCAAGATCCATGTTCTGCCTGCTTTTTCCTCATTTCAAACTACCAGGATGCCTTCCAAAACCAGCCCCGTTCAGGCAACCATGAAGTCAACAAGTTTTCTTACATGGGAGGCCAAAAACCGACGCAACGGGTCAAGCCCTGGTCTCATTTACACCTTTACTGAATGTGGATCTGTTCTTCCTAATATGAGCTGTGGCTGTGCCTCAGTGCTGAATCTCAGGAACTTTTGGGTCAGATACACTGCCAGTATGTAGTTGTCTAATCTCTTGCATGCAGTTTTGAAATAGCTTAGCCATGATTTTCTGCAGAGGTTTGATTTAGTGTGGTGAAGATCAGAAACTGAAGAAGAAAGAACTATCCTGGGGAAAAAAGAAAATGTGCCTTGTAGAAATGCCATTTTCAGAGCTTGAGAAATGGTAGTTAAGTGTAAATACAGAATAAATGCTGCTTCTTTAAGCTCTTTAGTTATTCCTCAGTGGGAGGCAGGGAGATACATGCAAATTATTTCCAAGCTGCCTAGTCCCACAGTAAACCAAGTAGTTAGGAATGACAATGAATTGTCATGATTGAAGTTTTTTGGTAGTTATAGGGAACTTCATTTTGATTTGCAAAGACTTCTTGTAGACTCAAGTGTGTGACTGAAATACTTTTCCTCTCTTTGAAGCCACTACTTACCTACCCACAGGTAACAAGTGGCATTTGGCATTAGAAATACAGTGTTGTTCCTTCTTCATTTATTGTGTTACTCGTTTTCACATGACCACAGATTTCTGTTCTGAAGAAGCTGGGGTTTGATTTTTGAAAGTAGCACAGGTACTTTGCATTCATTTTGCACGTCATTTGGATGCACAGCTATATTGACAAATGTGTGTCTTCTGTGATCACATGGCTATAACATGTAAGGACCGATATCTAGCTAGTAATGTTAACGCTAAAATTGCTGGAAGAACATAACACAGCCAGCAGAAAGGACTGTGAGATTGACTGCCTTTTCAGCTGGATCTTTGGAGTAACTTGGTAAAGCAGGTAAGAGTTAGGCCAGTACAGACCAGCGTGAGAGAAGAATTAGACCCAGTGATAGCACTGACACGAAATATGTGTTGTATTGGCAAAGTATGATGTCATTTTTCTTTTTTTTTCATTCCACCCTATAAATATAATTTATATTTATGGTGGAGGAAATCCTGTTTTCTCACTCTGTCAGTCGTTGACCATCAGGAAGGGTGATTCAGCATTTCATCATCAGTAATAAAAGCACAAAGCCGCAGAATTCAATATTGGTTTGAGTATGTGTTATTGTAAAGGAACTATAACTGAACAAATCCTCACAGCACAGTAATCCAAGTGCAACCGTGCAGAAAAATAACAAACAAACAAACAAGGATGTGTTCTTCTAGTAAATCCTGTGTTTAGTAGAAAAAAAAAAAAGACCCCAGGAACGAGGCTGGACATCTACATGTACCCAAGCAGTGAGGCACTGTGCATGGGATCAGCCAAGAGGAGCCGAGCAGGCAACAAGCAGGGAGCAGGCACTGACCCCACTGGATGGGAGTCCCTGGGGTGCACCCCACACCCAACTCCATTTGCTCCCCACTTCTCCAGCAGCCTCAGTAGGAAGGCGGGGAGGATGTCAGTTCCTTGTCCTACCAGAAGCGCACAAGTGGAACGTCTGCTCCTGGCTCACTGCAACTGCTCCACAGCTCCTCCAGCCTGCCTCTATCTGGCTTGAAAGTGGCCACTTCAGGGACCTCTTCCACTGAAAGCGGTCCTGTCAAGGCTCGGGTTTTGTCACCAACATGATGAACCCTTCCCTGAATTGCTTCTTTCAGACCTAGCATTTCACTGCATGAAGTCAGCAGCACGTACGTGGCGTTGACTACTCAAATAACCAAGAGCTACATGAGTACTTTCAGATGTAGGATCCTTCTGACTAATATTCCTATTACATCTGACTAATGAGGGCTGGTTAAAATGTCAAGAGTTTTTTGGGGTTCTTTCACTACCTTATTTCTTACTCACTCTCACAGTAGATGATACTGAACTGACACGTTGTTTACTCACTATGTTTATACAGTCCTGTGGGGATAAAGGAGTTGCTGCAGCTTAACTCTTTCTGCATAGTTTAGGAAGTCTTATAGGTGCACGAATAAGAGTGACTGTTCCTGCCTGGAAGCAAACAGACTTGGCTCTGTCATTTAAGAATAGGTCCACATTGAAGATAATGCAGAACTACTGTTGCCCACATGGGAGAAGTCTACTTCTGTAAGGCAAAATTTCTCCTGGAGCTCCCCTACCTGCAGCGCTGAACTTTTCCACTGCCAGTGAAGGAGAGCAAGGTCAGACCCATGACATCCTCACTGTCCTGCTCAGGAACGTGCAAGGAGCCCTTCCTGCAACTTCTGAGCACTGACCCAGGGAGGTGAGAGCAGCAGTGCCTGGGTGGATGGGTGGGCAATGGTAAGGGAGCTGGCTTAGCCCTCTCACACTCCCCTGGAGGTACCTCTCAACCACAAAAACTGGCCCTCCACCGATGGCCTGGCTCCCCTGGGCAGCTCCAGAGACTGGGTGCTCCTTCAGTGGCTCCTGCAACCATGTGTGGCTCTCATGCCAAGCCCTTTCAAAATAGCAAAGGGATTTGCAGAGACATCACTGATAAGACTATCATACAACAAAACATAATCCAATATATATCTAAAAGCAACAATAGCCTTGGAAAGACCCTGAGGGAGAAATGCCTGAAATGGAGAAGCTGTAAAGAAAATGCATATAAATGCAATGTGAATAAAAAGTAAGTAGGCAAGGTGAAGAATGCTGTCAATATTTACTCTACTGCAACTGACCTCCCCATCAGTTCTTTCAGGTCATTTGTTAAATGTGCGGAAACTATTGATTTGGTCTAATGAAATCATTTCCATGCATTTCACAGGGACAAACGCGAAGCATGGACTGCGCTGTAAGGCTTGTAAGATGAGCATCCACCACAAGTGTGCAGACAGTATTGGACAACAGCGTTGCATGGGCAAGCTGGTAAGTGAGCATCTCAGGGCAACAAGCGCAGGGGGAGGCACCAGCATGTACTGGAGCCACTTACATTGTGTGCCTGACCCCCTGGCTGGCATTTAGCTGGTGCATTAACAGAACTGACACCAGCTCACTTTCCTGAGGTGGAAAAAGTCAAGTCAGGTGGTTGCCTATTATCAATTTGGGCAGTTGCTACTACTCAAAAACATGAACAGAAAGGAAACACAAATCTGGTCTGCTTTGTGGATGTGAAAATACAGTTGCATAGTCCAAATTTAGCTAAATAACAAAATTAATTCCCTTGATTTAAACTGTGCTTGCTGTAGCTTAAATCTCTCAAGGAATGCTATAAATTAGTCAAAATATTTCAATGGAGTTTAACAAATGAAAAGTCCTTCAAATTATGTTTTATTCTTCTTTCTATTGTTAGGGCTTGAAGAAAAAACACAATTCATCTTAAAAAGAAAACCAAAGGAGATTTCACAGTGAGATACTACAGAGTTTGAAGCAATCTCTCAGTAGGAGAGTTTGAAGCAATCTCTCAGTAGGAGAGGCTGGGAGGGGACCTGCCCCTGTATGGACACAGCACCTTAGTGCCTGGGTCACCTGAACAGCAAACTCTCATTATTGGCAAAGGCGGGACACTGTGTTTGAGAGGATTCTAGCCCAGCTTGGTGACTTCTATAGGAATACAGGTCTTTCGGTTAATTTTGGAAAAAGTACTTGAAAAAATGACCATTTGGAATATGAAAACTGAATACATATATTCATGTTTCAGATGTTCTCAGATTTGCTGCAACCTGAAGGCACCTGAGACAAATAAGATCTAAAACCAGTTTCACTGTGTGAAATGGTGAAAAAATGCCAGCATTGCAAGCACCGCAAGCTAGAAAACCTACCTTTCAGTGGAAAGATCTTTCCTTTCCAAGAGTATTCAGTGAAAGCTGTTGTTGTTTATACACACGAGGCAAATCTTTGCGCGTTTAAACCATGGTTGTAGCCCTAGCGTGAGGCATTCTGGTATAGGAAGCTGGTCTGTGAAGAGGTGAATGACTTCACTGCAAGCCCTGGACAAGCCAAATATTAAATCATGTGAATTATTTCACTCATTTCTTGATTCCAGCTCTTGTGGTCACTAGTTTACAAAACCAGAAAAGTAGAGGCCAACTTTACAACAGGAAGTCATCCAGCAAAGTCACAGGAGCTTTATGAGCTCATGCTGTGTCTAAACCTAGTTTGGCGGCAAGCCGAGGCTGGAGAATCTGGAATTTATTCCTTTAAGAAACCAATTTTATCACTCCCCTCGTTCCTTCTCAATCTAGAATGCAGCTCATTAGCAAAAGAACTAGTTTTCTACCATTTTTTGATGTATTCTGAACGTAGGATATGGAAAACACGCATAATTCCATGAGGCTTTTCCACTTCTCGCTGTGACTGGAATGTCTCACAGTCTGTGAAGATTAGAAATCTGAGAGACCATTTGTGAATCCCTAATACCTTGAAGGGTATTTCCAAAGACTTAGATGTTAGCACCTTCATTTTGGGTACTCAGCCTTTGCCTGAGGTATTTGCTAGCTGAGATAGTAAATAGAGAGGTAACAGGAAATGTTTCATCTTCTAAGAATGGTTTTTAGAGTGGCATAGGACACCATTATTGGCCGTAATGTGGTATTCTTTAATGGTATAGCTTGAGTTGTTATAGTGCATTTCTCCACAAATGGACATTGAGGGGATATCTGGTGACGACTTGGGGAGTTTTTTGACCTTGACCTTACAAGACCAAAAAGCAGTGGAAGCTGCAGTCAGTCAGCAAGAAGTCTTAGAAAAACATATAGAAAGGCTCTAAATTCCTTGGGTTTTACAAGTGCATACGTGAGAACATGAGGATTTGGAGTTAGGGTGGGAAAGGATAGTCACATGCTTAGCAAATGCAAAACAATGCAAATTCATATTACATAAGAAGAAAGGGAGAGGGAAACTTCCCAGAACCTCAAATGATTCAGCATTTCTGCTGCAATTAATTAGTGCTGCTTTTGTGTAAGACAAAAGAAAAAGGGGAGCTGAAAATGAGCCCCTCCTTCCACATAAATACGGGAAATTGTTTTTTCCAGGAGAAAAATCAAATAAATCCCTGATTTCTAAACCCTACAGTGACTCAACAACAGGAGGCAAATTTCCAGCCTTGCCACACTGTTACGCCATTAGCCGAAGAGCTGAGGTTATTTCTACTACATCAATCATGGCAGCAGTGCACTTCACTTGTTTTTGCTTTCTCTCCCTCCAGCCAAAGGGATTTCGACGGTACTACAGCTCACCACTACTCATTCACGAACAGTTTGGCTGCATCAAAGAAGTGATGCCTATTGGTAGGTTTTGATTGCTTTTCTGTTCAGTCTCCCTTTGGCAGTGCTCTGCAACAGCAGCGGCAGACTTCCAGCCGTGGTATTTACCCTCAGCAGCCTTCCAGCTCCTTTCAGTGACTGGATGTCCTTCTGCCATCTCAGGAAAGGACCACTTCAAAGATACAAAGCTGGAAGAGGAGAGGGTGTGTTTATTGTGCGTTTCACTCAAAACCCTGTACATATTACCTTTTAGCAATTACCCTGTTTATAAAAATAATGACCTGAGATCAAGGTAGAAACTTAAAAGGAAAGGAATGCTAGAATACTGAGGTGAAAGTCTGAGCTGGGAAGAACCAGATAAAAGACAAAGCAATCAAAACAGCAGGAGGCATTCAAACCACTGGTCTGGCTTTTGAGGGACGTTGCTAGGTTCCTGTCCTTGTTCATTCACGCTTCTTACTTTCCTCATATTTTTCCTTATTGACTACGTCTACACACTGTCCAAGTGCTTACAATACCAAATTTTGCTCACTGTGACACCAAACTCCTGAAAAGAAACATTTTGAAATGAAGAAGTTGAGTTCATTCTGGAAAATATTTCTCCCCACCAGTACTCAGACCAGGCAAGCCTGGCAGTACAAAAAATGAAGGCCAAAACTAGGCAGTCAGTTTAAAATTACTTGTCTGAGGACATTTACTTTGTTGTTTTCAGCAGTTAAAAGAAAAAGAAAGTGAATTACATGGATTTCATCTAAGTTTCTCTTTCTAAAAAACATCCAACATTTTTATCGGAATTAGTAGAAACATTTTGAACAAACTCTGGCTAAAATAATGAAGTGTCCTTTGCTCTCAGTAAAATTCAAAATCCAATGTATTTTCTCAGTACTTTGGCCAAAATATCCTTCCTTCTACACGGTGCTACAACTGTACTGTGTTCTATGTGTCTACTGCAAGGGAGGATGAGGTCTTAATAATACAGTATGTAGAAGAGAATTTGAACTGAATTTGCTCATGCCAATTGAAGAAATCCATTTCTCTGCCATAGGAGATGACTTTTGGGCCCAGCTATGAGGGAAAGTGGGAGCGAAAATTGAATTGACTTATGCCAGTGGGGGTGATGGCTTTTCTAGCTACCCCTAGACTGAACTGAGGAACCTGGAGCATGTTCCCAACAGCAGGTATCTACTCACGCCTGCCTCCAGGCCCCATGTGGTCCCACAGGGGGGATGTCAGTACCTCTCAAGGAAGATCCAGGCCATCCTGTTTATCCGCATTAGCCAAGTAGGAGCACTGTGAGGGTAGATGGGTAAAGGTGATGTCCAACCCATATCACAAGAATGCTCATACACAATGCAGGGTTCTTCCCCTCAAGCATCTACTGTTGAGAGCAATCCAAGAGGTCAGTGGTAGGAACAGGCAGCAAACATGGATTAAAGCCTGCTGGTGCCTTGTCTTCCTTATCTCAGTGTAAGCAGGATCAGTGGTGATTAGAGAAGGAGGACAGTAGGAGAGACAAGGCAATGGTGGGGACCTGAAGAGCCTGTATGAGGGGGGTGTGATCTTTATGGGAGCAGAAAGGCAGCAGAAAATCACTAGAAAAAGCCAATTCGACCAAGTTCATCAAACACTTTTTATCAGAATAGTCTCTCAACTTATGTCTAAGCATACACCCCAACATGTTGAAAGAGGCAGGTGTTTCTCCAAGTGGAGCAGGAACATGACCAGAAATACCTTCAAGGGATTGATGCATGTTTTTCTCCTTCTGTTGCAGCCTGTGGAAATAAGGTTGACCCTGTTTACGAAGCTCTCCGCTTTGGGACTTCTTTAGCCCAGAAAACCAAAAAAGGCAGTTCTGGAAGTGGGTCTGAGTCTCCCAACAGAAACTCTGTAAGTATCCCACATCTTTCTTCTGTTTTATTTCTGGAGGAGCAACAGATATTTATTCACAGGAGTTTGTATCAGAGTTCACAAAACTTGTATTCCAAACTGTAAAAAAAAAATAAATCTCACTCTCAGCTTCCAAAATGAGACCAGAAGACACATTATTTTTGCAAACTCAGGTTTTAAGTATCTTTTAGATAGCTCTTGAGAAAAAGAGAAAAAAAACCCAAATTAAATTAATAATCTTCTTCTATCTGATTGGAAAAGTAAATTATATTCTTTTGATTTTGCATGTCTACATAAAAGTGGAACAGAGATATTTAACTGTCATGGAGTAGATGCATCCTGCCTGTTGTTGATGGTGGGCATTTACCCTTCATACAAGTGATATCGATGGGTTGGAGTCCTCAGAGCCTCGATTTAAAAGTACAAGGTCCGCAGTACAAGCCCAGCCAAAATTAAGCCACTGTTACTGCAACAAGGTAATGGACTGGCACCTCCACCCCTGCCCAGTGTAGGCTCAGAAGGGAGGCATCACAAATTTGGGCTTCTCTCTCCAAAGTCCAAATAAAGGCAGGTTTGCTCAGCTTGTTGTATCCAGACAGGGAGATTTTCACCTTCATGTTAATCTTTGTCATTCACTCTCTCCTATCGTAAAAGTCACTTTCTTCAGGACCACGGCAGAAGAGCTGGACAAGGTCAAGCGAAGTGATAGTTCCCTTAGCCTTGCCTTTGCTAAATCCATACCTAGTTCAAGAGTAAAAATTACCAATTTCTTCCTTACAGAAACGGTTATTTCAACAGTACTGGGACACATGAGATCACAAGCTAACTCATGCTGTTGAAAGAATGTTTCATACCCTCTCACCTCTCATAAACAGGCACTTAAGCTATGTTTGAGGCTCTCTTTTTTTTCCTAAGAGATCCTCTCCACTCCCCACTTCTCCCCCACCCCCCACCCTCCCAAAAAAATAAAAATCACACCTGAATACACTGGAGGCATTGTCATGTTTAAAAATCAGACCCGCATTATCTGATAATCTGTCCTGCACTCATCTCAGAATAAAAATCACCAAGCACAGAGATGTAATAAGACTTGGTCTCCAGGCCTCAGACCAAGTATTTACACATTTAATTTAAAGTTGTGCTAATACCTGTTTGTGTTTGGTACAACATTTCCCTGGAACTTAAATGTATGCTCACTCACATGGCTGAACTGTAACCTCAGGTAGTATAGGTGGCCTCTAAACAGATGTCCATTTGTGCCAGATGGGAAAGAAGACAAACAAATTTAAACAAGAACTAAGTGAAATCTGCAAAGGAGTTATTAAGTGACATGTCTTCTATCCACCCTTTTTTGTGCCTTAAAAAGGAATTTGGTAATCTCTATTGTTTTTTAAAACACAAAGTGACTCTACCACCTATTGCATTGTGATTACAGTTCTTTCTTTCAATTATTTAATTTACTTTGAAACAGAAGTTCTACAAATGTAATTATTGCTTTCTAAATCAATAAAACATTCCGGTGAATTATGAATGACAACTCAAGTGTAGAAGTCATGAATGCTGTGTCAGCTTGCCCTAGGGAGCTGATCATAACTAGGTGGGGTGTGGGTGTAGAATGAGGAGCGCAAGTTCATTATGGGAATTTCTCCAGGGTATTGAGGCTGAGAAAGAATATAACGCGTGTCAGCATACAGAAAATAGAAGACAATAGAGCACCGAATAAACAGACATGTGAAACTCTAGCTTCTGCCAATGCCAGCCTGTGGATTTAGACAAGGATAAAAAAGAGCGGCAGACATCCTGATCCAAGTGATGGGGCCATGGAGCTTTGCAACTGTGATGTGTGACCCAGGAGAAGTCACTGACCAGTGAGGGACCAGAGCAGGGAAGTGACACAGAGCCCTTAGAGCCCAGGTAGAAATGCACCAGAGCATGTGAGCTAGCAACACATGTGCGGTTAATAATGCATAGGGACTAAGATCGTTCCCCAGTGGTCCTCACCTCTGTGCTGCTCTGCTCTTCTCAAAGCAGAAGCAGCAATGCAGCTGTGAAGCTCACAGCAGCACAGGGGCTTTGCGGCTGAGCTGTGCCCCAGCCCTGGGAGCTGGGGAGGGCTTCAAGGTTCTGACGTGTCACCAAACCAGGGACGCCAGGGACATGGTGACTCCTGGGACCATACTTCACCTCGCAGGTGGTGTCCAGGCTGTCAAAGGGTTGGCTCTGGGTCAGAGCTGAAGGTAGTTAAGAGCAAAGGCAGCTAGCCCAAGAGCCATGCCTTGCCTCTACAGCCGTGAATCTTCCAGGGCTGCAGTTCATGTCTCTGAGCAGAGTAGAGATAACCGTCTTCCTCTGAACTATCCAAGGTATTTTTAACATGGCTGATCACTGTGGACCCATCCACTGTGATTTTTCAGCCCAGATTCTGCGTTTCCCATAAAAGAAAGTGGCCATATGCTCCAGATTTACTACCTACTGCTTCCTTCAAAAATGTGCCTCTGCAACCCACATTTATAGAGAAAGTCACTTGAGGTGACGTAAATGTGATTCCAGTTCTTGTTAGTTTTTCATGGCCCAGCTCCTCTCAAAAGCAGCTTTGTACCTCTCATTTCTCTTAGACCATTTGTCATGTACCTCTTGACTGAAAAATCATTAAAGGTAACTGAGGTTACTTCAGGAGGTTTTGGATGAGGTACATACTGAAGAGACAGTCACTGCACATCCCGTATGCAGTAGCACCCAACAAAATATGAAGCTAATCAGCAATTATGAAGCTAGTCTGTGAAGACTGAGGAACATGCCGTAGCAATGAGCTGAAAAATAGCTGGGACTTACTATTTCAACAAAGCCAGTCTTTCTCTCCTCCACCCAGCAACTAGAAATCCCTAGATATGCTCTACACTGACTTCATGTTAGCATTGCTATTGCAGTGCCTTCTCATCCAGGAGTGACCCAATTGTGCAAGATGCAACACAAGCATGACCTGCAGCAAAAGGTTGAGTCTAAAACCAAGGCACAGCAGAGCAGTAAAGCAGAGGACTCTTAAAATAGCAAGGGGAGCAAGATAACCACAAGATACCTGTGGCATAAATCTACTTTCAGCCTCCTTGTTCGTTAGTATGCTTGGATGGAGAAGTAGCTAGGAAAGTAGTAGATAGGGGAAATAAAATTGTCAAAGTACTTTCTAAAAAACACTTTGTTGTCAACACTAGTAAAAGGTAAAAAACAGAAAAATCTATACATCAGATCAGATGTTGTGCTCCCTGAACAAAAGCGGTGAATGTTCCTTGTTTGGCTTTTCTTCCTGAAATGCAGGCAAAGGTCTGCAAAGCAATGGGCAGAGCTATGTGTACAGTGCAATTGTAAAGTGTCATGGAATAATGAAGTTAAATCCTTCCATGTGACTTGAAATCCTGTTAACAATAAATAAATAAAGTTTAGGAGCATATAAGGATTTATGGTTTTTCAGATTAGAGAGAGCACCTGACTGAAATTCAACGTTTGGGTTTTTTATGGTTATCAAAGATGTTCTACCCAAAAGAAGTTACATGTGGAGAGTTCAGAAACTGAAGTTCTGTAAGGTCAGATGCGGACAGAGTTGTTTGGAGCAGCTCCTGGTTCCTGACGTGCTACACATGGAGAAGCTGACTACCCAGCCACAGAATGTGGTGCCTTATGCAGAGTATACTTCTGAGGCTTGAGATTATGTCATCCCACGTTTTCCTACACCCTAGAACAATGGGTCCCTAATCATGATTGACATTAATATGGTACAAATAAGAAATCGTAGTAATTCTAACAGCAACATTTGGGTTTCATTTTTCCCTAACCATAGCAGCCAGATGACTGTTTAAAAAGAAAGCGAGGGCAGATATTTAAAGACTGACTTCACCAACTCCATCCCACTCCAGCTTCTTCTTTCACAGCATGTTAACAGAATTAAAATCACCCTTACATTACAGTTATTTGACTGAATAATTTATTCAGGGTTAATAAATTAATAGCAAATAGTTTTGATTAATGTCCAGGCTCCTTGGTAGATAGCTATTTAGTGTACCCGCAGGATCTACAAATTCCCCCAAGCCCCTTCTATTTTATACAGAGAATCAAATTGTTTAACATAATCCTTTGTTCCTTAACTTTCACTTCGCTTTATAACACAGAAATCTTTTGTACTCCAGACTGTAAACTTGCTCTGGAGCTCTTTCTGGGCTTTCACTGCTCCCCGTGAAGTAGGTATTTGTTGTGCATCACCAGGTACGATGTTGTCTGCAGTCCCATGAGGCTGACTTGCTCTGCGCTGATAGCACCCAAGTGCTATGTTCCCCAAAGGCTCTTGTGTGGTTTTACTTCACCTCATCACTCACTTTTTCTGGCTCATCCCGTCTCATTTTATCTTTCTGTCCCTGCAGACAGCTGACCTGGCAGAAGTTCCCGAGGAAGGCGACAGCTCTGCAGGCACCCTTGACACAAGCAGGAAACGCAGCAACAGCGGTGAGTGCTGCCAGGCCAGGATACCATCTTCAGATGTATAGGCCTGGGTACAACCTGTTTCAGATGGGGTTTTTTATGGCATGTCCATGTTTTAGCAGCATTCTGGTTTTCAAAGTGGGAAGTGAGTGGGGCATGAGGTTGGTGCAAGAATTTGGGGAATGCTTTTTACCGTTCAGATGAAATCCAAGCCACCAGTTTTCTTAATTGGTAGTGTCCAGACCTGACCCTGGTTCAGGTCCGTTCCCTATCTTCTACGCTTCATGAACATGACTGTAGGCTAATCACTTAACATGCTTCAGTTCCACATTGGCAAAGTGGATTAAAAATAATACTTTCTTTCTTTTCCATATGTTTGACTTGTGTACGCTTTCTATATACCATAACCTCTTTGGGACAGGAAATGAATCATATAATATCCATATGCCTGTAAAATATCCAACACAATGAATCCTGATTATAATTGCAGCTTCTCAGCACAACTATAGTATGTGCCCAGTAATATTAATAGCTCAACTCCTTTGTCTGCAGTACAAGAGTAATGTTTTTACAGCATTGGTCTGATGGGATTTCAAGACCATCATACCAATCAAGAGCTCAGTAATGAAATCTCAGCCACCGAGGGATGGTGTTTGTGACCCTGTTCTGGAATTCAGTCATGGTAGGGGAAGCAGTAAGTACAAAGGGGTTTTGAGCACTATGCAAAACTTCACTCCCAAATGATCAGAGCAGCACTTGAAGGCTACATTGCTGAATCTCACATGAGATGTATGCTACAAAAATAAATCACAGTGGACATAACTTTCTTCTTTTTAGCATCCCCAGTGCTCCTTACATGCTGTTAGCAGTTCACATATGTGAAATGCCAGCTTCAGCTGTCCATTCCCATTTTGTGCTACCTCCTTATTCCTTTCTTCCTCTCCTGGTCCTATCACTTCTCCTCACTGTGTTCAGTCATTTCCTCCCTCCTTTTCTGAACATCTCATCTATGTTATCTGCTTTCTCCTGACAATTTTTTGAGGTTTTCTATTTTGCAAGTGCAAGTTGACCTGACCTGGTTAAAGATAAAGAATTTTGTCTGCTTCATATTGTTTAATCCTGCCCACCTGAGATTAATTTGTCCCTGTTTGAGTTTTCACATAACTTTTATTTCACTCGCGATCAGTAGTTTCATATCTGAAACCCAAAGAAACTTTTTTTTTCTCCGAGATCTGTATTCACTGAATGCACTGAGAGGCATTCAAGGAACTTACTCAAAGAGATTAGTTTAAAAACTCAGCATGTGTCAAACCTCCAAATAACTTCCGCAGTACATTAACGATTCCTTTGATCAGCACTGGCTTTTTTACAATCCATCCTTCAGAGGCTCAGGCTATAAATTATGCATCAGTCATTCCAAAAATTTCCCCTTGGTAGATTTTTAATAAACTGCCCGCACTGTTTGCACAAGCTATGAAAATGGTAAAATCCTTTTCAGACTGTAAAAATCCCTGCTTTTTTTTTTTTGTTTTGGTTTGGGTTTTTTTTGTCTGCTGTTAGGGCAAACAAATAAGAAAATAGATGGATTTCTGTTGTGTGGAGACATGAACTACTTACCTCCATGGCCTTCAGATTTGAGTGCATCCTAGTAATATCCAGAGACCCTGAGCTAAACAGAGATTAAAAATTTAACAAAGTAAATTCAAAATATTATTACAGGATGATTCACCACTCTTTTTTTCCTCAGTTGTCCACTGCCTTTTTAGCAGGCAGTTCCACATTAATGCCTTCATGAATCAGGTCCACTCTGGTTCTTTTTTTGTTCTTTTTTTTTTTTTCCGCATTAAAAAAATGTTTTCTACAAATAGGATTTTAGGAAAATGCACATTTTAGACTCTTCGCTTAAAGGGAAACAGCAGAAAAGACACAGCCTACAGAAGGGTGAAAGGACCCAGCACATGTGTGGCCATGTAATCACTCCTATAGACTCCTATGAAAACAACTTCAAGGGAAGATTCTATTATTCAGTCCCTGGCACACACGCTATGAAGTAAATCTTCCTAGTTTACAACTGTAAGATGGCATACCTAATTTCCATCCCTTCAGTCTCCTCTAAGCCAGTTATACTCCTTCACTGCTGCGAATTGCCATCTGTAACAGAAGTCCCGCAGGCTAAAATGTACTTTAAGTGACATGCATGAGCCTGTTATCAACAGGGATTTGAGCGCTTTCCCCTCGAGTCAAATATGGGATGTCCTCCCTGCAAACCCAGGGTTGGTGAGCGCTTCTCGGCAAATACAAGGATACGGTCCAGCTCCCTCTGCACCTGCTGGGTCAGCTCCAGAGCTCATGAGGATGTGCATTAGTAGTTACTCGGCTTTATTTTCTGACACCGAGCAGAAATTACTCCAAACATGATGCTGAAATACTTCCACTACAACTAGTGACTGACTTTCTGCAAGTCCAAAATGCTGCTGGTTACCCGGCTCATTATTCACCAGAACTTTATCTATTTGCCTCCCTAACTCCTTTTTCTCTGGACACAAAAAAAACCAAAGTATAGTAATTTGAGTAGGACTTAAACACTGCCAGATTGTAACGGTAGCATTTTACACCCCTTTATACAGATGTCAGGTAGACATATACCCCTATACTAGAAGATACAGGAAATTAACTTTATTTTTAAGGTTGTCCCTCTGGTACTTGGGACAGTTTGCAGGGTCAGAGTCCCTCTGCAACAGGACTTGGTGAGGGGCACAGTGAGTCCCTCAGCTCAGCTGCAGTCAGACCACCCGGACACAACTTGGGGCATTTTCAGGTTAAAGGCTGCAGGCATCAACTCTCGTGCTCTCTTCACATTCACACATTGGACTTTATGACTACAACATTGTCTTACATTTTATCAGAGAACGTGTACTTGTGTGTGATCGTGTGTGCATGTCAGTTTGTACAAAATCTCTCTCGTGCATCCTGTGGCTGACGTTTTAGCTATCCTCTATTGCAAGAACACTACATTTTTTCAATGTCTAAGTACACCTGTCTGATCTCAAGGAACCTTACTTGCGCTCCTACTTACTTACACTCATAAAACTTCTTCAAAGACTGTTTGGTTGTCATTTACGGTGTAGAATAGCCACAGAAATATGTGTTAATGGAAGAAAGGGTGAGCAAGTGAAAGAGCAGAGGGGAAAGAAATGAAGCGGTGTTCCCTTGTGCCTTCTTTCCCCTGAACACATGCAAGTGTATCACAGACAAACAAAAAGAAAACGCACACCATCAGCCTGCTACTTATTACCATTTTGGAGATTTCCAAATTGTTAGAGACAACAAAATCCAGCTTCTGCTCAGAGCACCTGCAGAGGTAAATGGTGGGAGAAGATGCTGATGGTTCTAGCTGCTCAAAGACTCCCGCTATTAAAATCACATTCAGACTTTATCCAGAAGCAAGAAACACCAGGAAATTCTTAAAATGTGAAGGGGGAACTCAGACAATGTGATAAAGCCACTGTGGTTTTTCTAGGGAGATAACTGAGGGCAGGCGTCAGGGTAACTGATTAGATGTCAGCTATGTTACACGCTGTGACCGTTGTCTTACTCCATGAGTTTCTGATTTAGTAACTTGGTAGCAAATTATCACACATACAGGCCTGTGTCTCAGGTAACCCATCCCAATCTGAAAGCAATTCAGGTACCTCCTATAAAATCAGAGAGAGAGGCAGCGTACCCCAGTGACACCCAGGCAGGGACTACTGGAGAGAGAGATCAAAGAAGGCTATCCAACATTTGACCCAGAGGGTCAAAGAGGGGAAAAAGGTGTTTTGCAGACAAACTTCCAGCCGTATTGCTCATATATGGTCATCAGGTTTTGCAGGTGCTTTTAAACGGAAATACTGCTCATCCTAACCATGAAAATACAGCATTCAGTATAAGGAAAAGGCTGCTGGACTTTAAATAGCAATGTAATTATGGGACCTAGGCTCTGTTCCCAGTGCTGTACTTGTGTATACTCATCAAAATGGTTTATCTGTTATGATTGTAAATTCTTCAGGACAGAGATTGTTTTGTGCCGTGTGCCAGTGGTATACATGGTTTTGTTGGGGGCATAGAAGGCTTCAGAGAGACCACAAGGGGTCAAAAAAAGTAAGGGGGAAAGGGAAGAGATTAACAAAATAAAGGTGATCCTGTTGAGGTGAAGAGCCTTAATGTGCTGCTAAAATGTCATGTGTTTGCTTTATTTCAGTGTTTACATACTCCGAAAATGGCACAGAACACTTTGGAGAAGAACCAAAAAGTATACATTCCCCGGTATGGGCATAAATTTTTTGAGAATGCAATGGGAATGGGAAGTCATATAAAAGTCTTGTTTTCATGGATAGCTGAGGACCTTGAGTAGCTGGGGAACTATTCTGGAGAAGCATCAATATCTGACTGTCGTGTTCTTATGCTGTTTCTGGGCCACTGGCCACAGTTGGAAGCAATATACAGGACAGGATGGCTCTTTGATTTACCCCTTATGGTCACTTTTATGCTCTTCTGCTTATTACAAATTGACATTGTGAACACAAAAGATCCAGTGTGGAGTTCTTGTCACTACAGTAGAACTGCAGTAATGTAAAAATCACAGATTAGATTTGGAAAATTATTTGGGGTTTGGTTTAGGTGCTTTTTTTTTTTTTTTTTCTCCAGATGACCAGTGGAGAAAGTGAGGAGAGTAGCCAGTCTTCTCTGTGGGAAACCCGGCACAAGCAGCTTTCTGTTTAAGAAAGTGATTTTCCCACCCTGTTTTTTGCACCTGTGCACTGTACAACTCCAGCTCCATCCATAACAAGGACTGTATAATAGACACCTTATATAATGCCATTAATACGCTATTGGGCTCATAAGAGCCACACATTAACAGAGAGCAAAAGGTAGACTCATTTTTAAGATCCCACCCAAAAGGCCAACTTATGCAGATTTCTGCTTGTATTCTTTGGAAGCCTGGAGTTTGATCTCAGGGTTCGAAGAATTTTATTTTTAAATGAAGATAGTTACTGCCTTAGTGGCTCACAAGGTATCTGGGCTATAGTCCTCCAAGGTGTGAAAGCAATGAGGTGATTCCAGCTCATTCCGTGGAAGATCAGGCCCTGGTTCCTCAGTCTCTAACAAAGTGAACTAAATTCCTGTACAGGACAGATTTTTAAATTTTCTCTTTCTCTTTTTTCTTAAAGGGACCATTTTATAAAAGCACGTTACAAATGAACACCTATGTTGCCTTGTACAAATTTGTACCACAAGAAAATGAAGACTTGGAGATGAGGTAAAGCCCCAAAATATTTGTTAGTTGATTTCACCCGTGCGAATTGGGGGTCATATGGCTGTACATGGCTTCAGAGGAAGAAGTGTTCATTCTGACATTTGTACTAAACTTTTTTTATAGAGGTGTCCACTTGTAGATACAAAGATATTCTCATAGATAAAAAGCTGGTGACCAACTTTTTTTGCAAGAACACAATAGATAAAAAGTTTCAGAAACACTTATGTGATTTTAGGAGCAAGATGGCTTTCAGATAGAAAATATTCAGTTTTCAGTTACTTGGGTTTTTAACCAGAAGTCTTCAACTAGGAATTCCTTACCAGCTCTCATGCTAATGCTGAACATTTTGCCAGTCCTGTTTGATTGTCACTCTCATTCAGGTTACGTCTGAGAAAAGAGAACGATGTCCAGCTGACGGATGACAGTATTTTCACATGAGAAAGATGCATTCTGAGCTTTGCAAAATAACCTTGTTAATTATAATTTTTAACACTTCCTTCCTCAGTTCTGCATCAGTTGCTAGCACTGTAAGGTCTAATCCAAGCCCACTGAAGCCAAAGGACATCTTTTAGTGCAATTAGTTTGACCCACGCTCCTCACATTTTGCATGGACTTGCTAGAGCTTTTGTCGTGAAATGTGTCTGCTCTCTTCAAGGCATCCTGTGTATCAAAATAGTCATGCACATGCCACAGAATTTAGGGAATTGCCATAGAAATGCCCCTCTTGTCAGCATCTCCTTCACTGAAAGCCTTTTTCCTCTTCCCAGCTGTGCCTTCTCATTGCTCTGGAACTAATGGGTGGGATGTAAGGCAGAAATTACAAGCTTCCCTATCATTCTGCTTTGCTGGCATTTCCTGATCATTATTTTAGGAATGTCAGCTCTTCAGGAAATAACTACAGGGTATGGTGACCTTTAGTGCAACTTGCCAGCCATTCTGCTTGAGGGATTCCACTTTGCATTTCCTTTAGAGGTGTATTCCAGCTTGCACGTTGGTTCCATGAAAAGGAACACCTCTCAGACAAGCCTGCACTGGGCTACAATCCTCATCAAGGCATAGCAATCCAGAAAACACATCATTCTCCAAAATTCTCCTGTCCATCATATTAGGGGAAAAAGCAACCTGTGGTCTGCAACCTGGACTGTCATGACTAACAAGCTCTTTCCAGAGACACCAGACAGGTTTTAGACTAGTGTTACTCAGCTACAGCAACGTTGTTTGTCCCATGGCCAGAAATTCAGTAATACATGGGTTAACACTGTTTCATAAAGGATGCCAAATATCTAGGAATGTTGTTTGGTCACTGCAGAGCCAGGCAGGATTCAGGTCTGTTGCATGAGTTTTCATTTAACATAGTTGAGTTGCTGGAGGCGTGTTCAGCAGAGCAATGTTGTCAAGACTGGCAAGCACTGTCCTGGGAAACCAAGTCAGACACTGATCAGCCCTAACATAATGAAGGCAAGTAGCTGGGGAAGGATCTTAGCTGGGAAGAAGAGTTAGGGGAGATTTCTGGAGATCTGAGCTCACCTCTGAGGGGATGCACTGGGTGGTAGATGACTGCAGTGGCGAGGTGTCAGCCCTGATTTCAGCAGCAATTAGCACTTTCCACAACCTTGTTTTCTTCCTCAACAGCAGGACCAGCCAGTCAGATTTTCCAAAGCTCTGGCATAAGTAAAGTAGGACATTGCAGTAGTATGCGTATTCTAAGGGAATGCCTCATATTACAATAACTAGAGAATCCTGGAGACAAGCAACCTCAGGTTTCACACACTGCAATGAGTGGGATGGAATGGAATGGAATGGAATGGAATGGAATGGAATGGAATGGAATGGAATGGAACAGAATAGTTGGAAGGGACCTACAATGATCATCAGTGGTGGCTGACGAGCACTTATCTTGCCACCTGCTGAAATGTAGAGCACTGATAGAGGAGACAACTTACCCAGGGCTGTGATCTACAGAAGAAAAAGATGAGACCTGGGAGTGACTTCAACCAATAGTAAACACCAAGCAGCTTGACCCCTTTCAGGGGTTAGCAGCCTAAGTCTAGGCAGCAAGAGTCCAGCTGGGACTTCTATTTTGAATCCTTTTTGGTGATTAGAGACATCAATGTTAGCCCTGTGCTAAAAATGTCAGAAAGCAAAATCTGTAGGTCTTGCATCTAAAAATCTCAGTGTTCAGACCTCTGATGTGGAGAGACTCTAGGTTCAGTTGCCATATTGCTCTGGCAGCCAAATAAATTTATATTTTCTAAGTTATTTTTCTAACAACTAGGCCGAAGGGTATTTGGAGGGTGGGGCTTTCTAAATCTTTGTTGAAAGTGTTCTTCCTTGCAGTGTAAGGACTCCAATGGTGTTGCAGCCTATTCATTTTGAAGTGGCAAAATGGGCTCCCTCAAAACTTCTTTAAGAGTTTTCTACTAAATATTAACCAGAATAAGGGGTTCAGATGCCCTTTCCCACAGAAGAAATCTTTTACCACTGGGATACCGTGTTGTCCTTTTCCTCTAGCTTCCTTTTTCACCTCAGCAACATTTAATTATTCCAAACACGTTAGAACAGCTTCCTAAGGAGGGCTTGGGGAAAATCCTACCCTGTTGCCCTACTGGTAGCACCTTTCTGTGAAAGCTGGAAAACTAATTCAGATCACGCAGTGTTAGAAAAATAAATGCCTGTTTCTCCAGTTATCAGCAGCAATGATAACCACTTGGAAAGTGGATCAAAGAGGCCCACCACCTCCCCCACCTCCAGCTGCATCCTGGTCCACATCTTCTATGCATGCTCTGAAAGAGCCGGTTAAACTGTACCCATTATCCATCATATGCTCCAGATGCGTTTGCAAGCTCTTGTGCTGATACCTCAACAATACAGTGAGCCTAACAGGGAATGCAAGGAAAGCTGAATAATTAGGGGTCAACCATTAATTTTATTAAGATCAAAGAAATGCCTGTTATCAAGCAGACAGAGCTTTCTGAGGTTAATCCGTTTGGAAATGTGCTGCCACTTACTTTCTACAATGCAGCGCTATTATAATTACATAATAACGTTGATGAAGTGCCACCAGTGGGGGGAAGGAGGTCAAATAACTGTTCAACTACCTGCACAAAATCAGCTCAGCACATTTTGCTATTAGCATTTCCAGCCAAATTATTCTCTTAGCTCTGCTTTGGAACTAGTCAGCTGGATGCTGATACTTAGCAATTACAACCCTACACCACACATTATAAAGGTAAATATGTCCCATTCAAATCAAAAAGACATTCTTGGGCAGAATTATATCCCTGCTGACTAATTGCCTTTGTCAGTTAAATAGAACTATTTGCCTGCTGACTTCCTTCTGCAATCACAGCTTGAAAACGCAGATGATAAACTGGTGTGTCCCAACAATGTGAAATGTCTTGAAGTAAAAAGATAATGCCTGTAACAAATAGGGACTGTATTTTAAACAGTTTCATATTAAACAGGAAGCAAAATTTCAGTTCACAGATGTTGTCTCAAAGTAAAGTTCTAGCCTCAATATACAGAGGCTCTCTTTCTACATTACTGTGTATGATTGAAGAAAACCTTGCTGCCTCATTGAGTCTACCTGCAGCAAATGCTCAGATAAAACGACCAAGAAAGGACCACCTTCCTATTAGAAAGTAATTGTGGAAGCTGATGCAGCATAACAATTAGTCATCTTAACTACTCTTCCTCTTCTAATTACAGGCCAGGGGATATGATCACTCTTCTGGAAGACTCCAATGAAGACTGGTGGAAGGTATGTGCTAATTATTTTATATCTATTTTCTTTTCCAAAGGGAAAAAAATGTTATTTTCAATACTGAACTTGTATTAAAGCTACCAGTGTTAACAGTCTTCTTCTAACAATATGTTTTTTCCACAGGGGAAGATTGATGACAGAACTGGATTTTTTCCTGCTAACTTCGTTCAAAGAGTGCAACAGGATGAGAAGATTTACAGGTGTATCAGGACATTCATTGGCTGCAAGGAACAGGGACAGATAACTCTGAAAGAGAACCAGGTAGGTTCCCCTGTGCCGCATCCCCACTGGACTTGAGCATCCAGCAGTCTTACCAATGACTGGAGGGAAAGTTGTGCAAGATGAACACAGTCAGAGACGGTTCACTGCAATTTTACTACCAGATTTATTATTTATACAGTAATAGTATCAGTAGCCAGTTAAGACCAGTGTTGGGTTTGTGCAAACACATACTCCCTGCCTAATGTAGCCTAAATTGTCAGTCTCACAGATGGTCATAAAGGTACTTCACATATTACGCACTCTCCTACTGACTTCAGAGGGACAGCTTGAAGAACACAGTCTTAGAGGTAGACCTTATGTATTAGATATCTGGTAAAAATGGTGTTAAAAATTATGTTTAAAATCAGATCAAAGACAAAAAAAATCTTAAAATTAACTCTTGTTCATCAGCTGCAAAGTATCTTTAATCATTAATTGCTTGTGTCACCAATTACGCACCCTCTCTACAAGCTGTACTAACCTAAATTGGAAGTGCAACTTTGAGTTAAAGGACACCACGTACAGTGAGGGCTTGCAAGGTCCATTCACCCTGGCATACTTTCAGCTCCTACTTTGTGTCCTTCAGGTGGGTTTACTACACAAAAAACATGGCCACCATTATGCGGTTTGTCTTTGATCTGATTTTAAACATAATTTTAAACACAATTTTTACCAGACATCTAATGCATCCAAGTGTCAAGTCTTGTGATGCTGCTATAAATGCTTACTGGCATGAAGTGAGAGAAGAATATGGCTCAAAACCTGCATGAAGGGACAGTCAGGTTTGCAGCATAAGCTCATGTAAATAGAATCATAGAATGGTTTAGGATGGAAGGGACTTTAAAGATCAGCTAGTTCCACCCCCCCTGCCATGGCCAGGGACACCTCCCACTAGACCAGGTTGCTCAAAGCCCCATCCAACCTGGCCTTGCACAATTCCAGGGATGGGGCATCCACAACCTCTCTGGGCAATTTGTTCCAGTGCCTCACCACCCTCATAGTGAAAAAGTTCTTCCTAATATCTATTCTAAATCTACCCTCTTCCAGTTTAAAGCCATTACCCCCTCATCCTATCACTAGGATGGATAGATAGGAGGATGGCTGACTAAGGGTGATGCACAGTGTGAGTTCTCTGACACCTGGATGAAATAGAAAACTAGATTTTTCTCACTGCAACTTGTGAAGCCCAATGTTCTTCCACCTCAATAGGTATTTCCTTTCCTTTGACAACTGATGTCACATCACCAGGATTTGTTTGCCTTACAGCGCCCAGACTGCCACTGACTTTAATACCGTAGAGCAGAAGTCAGCATCAGGGTGGACTACAGAGCCATAGATTTTTCCACGCAGAACTTCTGTAACACTGCACTCCACTGGTGGATAAGATTAACTTGTACCTTTGTTGCTGCTGTCTTGTGACATAACAAAACATACAACTGCTAACAATCCATGGGTATACACAGCTTTTTAAGGAAGGCACAGCAATACAATGACCAGAATATATTTTAACTCCCACTGTGTGCATAGTACATTGGGCAGCCCTGAAGTTGCTAGAAAGAGAGAAAATGCTTGATTTTTTTTTTACCTAGCACCTCTTTTTGATTGTTTATATACGTGCACACAGAAGGAAAAAAATATTACCAAAGTAGAATGAGAGGTTTTGCACAATTAGCGCTCTAGAATAAGCAATACACAAGGACAAAGCTTGGGGAAATGGTTGTGTAGGAATATGGCGTGCCAGCATGAAGGAACAGTTAAAGTCTGAGTCCCTTCTCATCAGTGTGGCTGCTGCTGCTGCAAACAGTGAGGGCCCAGTTTCTTGTCTCATTTCTCACAAAACCACAGTTTCCAAGTGGGCAGGTCTGGCAGCTTCATCTAAACACATGGAGTTCCTATTGTCCCTATTTCATAATAGGCTCACAAGGGAGCTCAGTCAGGGATGCATCATCGTCTCTGGTAGAGCAGGAGATAAAGGAAGGGATGAATCCATCCTGTCTGTCTACTACTTCCTCTTTTTTAGCAAACTTATTCAGCTCTATCTCAAACCCACACAAATGATGAGGTTGAATGTGAATGCTGTCAGGTCCTCACTCCATGTGGGAGAGGCATCAGAGGAAGAAAGAAATAAATATTTGGTGTAAAACAGGGGGCAGAGATCAGACTGAACAAACACACGAATGCAGAGGCATAAGAGGAAAGGAGTGGAGCCAACAGATCCCACTCTACCCTCGCACAAATTATGCAAAAAGGGGACGTTCAAGTAGCTTCAAGGCTATTTTCAGTAATTTCCAGGTGGGACAGTCACAGCAAGGCCACGGACACTCATCTGCTTCCCGCTGTCCCTACATATAGTGTTTGAGCCCCCTGTAATAGCCCCCAGTGAGAGCTGGCAGCCTGCACAGGGCTAACGTGTAGCAGCAGCATGGGGACAAGAGCATAAGGTCCCCCAAAACTAGCCTGTGGGACATGCGCCCGCCGTGGAGATCATTGCCTGAATGGCACAATTTTTTGTCTGTTTTTTTAACATAACAATTTTGTCTTTGCTGTGGAAAAACTCTTATTGTGAAAAACATTTTAATTGTTATTGGGAATTTTTTACTTTAGATTTTTATTTTGTATTTCCAAGGTCAAATTTCCTTTCTTCTTTCTTCAGCCATTTCTCTTATTTTCTGTCCTTTATTTCCCTGTTGTTTTCCATGTGAAGTGGAGAGAGGGGTGCAACAGGGAAGGCATAAAAAGAAAAAAAGTCATCTGAATGGGACTTCTGGGAAAAGTTTGGCAGAATTTTATTTTTTCTTTTGTTCTATTCAGGGGTTTCTGTGGGATGTAACCAGCCATTTTAGCTGTCTCTAAGCATAGTGCCCAAAGTGCTGTGAGTGCAATATATGTACTATGTGCAAAGCACTGGCTTGTTCCAGATTAGCAAGAAGGGGAGATTATTCATTGCTACCAGTTCCTGTCAAGTCTCACTTTATCTGGAAAAACTCATTAACTGGTGTAATAAATTCTTGTGACTATAGTATAGCAAATTGTCTCAATTTTATACTGTTAATTCACTGGGTCATATTCTGCGGGGTCTAACAAGAGTCCAGAGCCATTCTGACAACAAAGGCAAGGATGATATGCCAACGGAAAAACTTATCCAGTTACCAGTAATAGGAATTTTCATTATATTGCTTGATACCATCCATGGTTTATACTGCAAGTGCCTTATATGAATGTTCCCAGGTAGGGAATCTCTTCTTGTAAGGCAAAAGGCAATATATTCACGCCAACAAAGCCACATGACTACCTTAAGAAAAGTCATTTAAGACAAGCAGAGATATTTTTGAAGTTTGAAGCACAGTGACTGAGGCTTTCTCTGGAATCGCTTGGCACTTTCATGCCGCGGGAATAACATTTTGAGCTTCAGCTTCATGCAAACCTTTCTGGCAAAACCAATACTCAAGGAGAGGACTGAGGGAAAAGCAACACATCTTGAGCAATACACACGAGCTAGTCTTCACAAAGGATCCCTTGAAAATTTCATTATGAAATATGAAATCCAGTCTGGGGGAAAAAAAATGTGCTGCTTCAGAGACATCAACATCTTGGAGTTTAGGGTTCACTGGCAGATTTGTGGGTCCTTAAACCAATTCCAAAGATGACTGGGCACCACAGGGCTCAATCAGGAATCTGTGGGATGGAGGCAGACATAGCACCTCACATCAATAAAGCAAGGTTATTAACAGGGAAACCAAAAACCAGCCAATTTCTGTGGCCTTCCACTCTTTTAAGCTGTCTCACACACAATGCTGTCCACATAATTTCCAACTCTGATTGTACCATCACTTGGATATGTAAAGTTTTTTTCAGCCTGTAACTTCTGCTCTAGCCTACCTGAATTCATTACCACACATTATACAAATGCTCCTTTGCAGGACTACAGGCTCTGATTTGACCTCTTTTCACAAAAGAAAAAGTCACCGTGTCTAATATGTCATCAGTGTTTCAAAAAGCAACTCTTAAAATGCCTCTAACCTTTTTGGTCATCCTTATTTTTAAAGAAGTCATAATAATCTATTTTTTGAATGTCTATTTTTACTCCTCTTACAACATCTTACTTAAATAAAGGAAATAACCTCTTTAAAAAAAAAACCCTACTCACACCCTTCACTGGATGCCTCTCTGACATCTACAGTCACACTAATACAAACCACTTTAGAACTGGGCTTTTTGTGATTAAATAACACAATTGATTTTTAAATTGCACAAGTGATCTTGTGCAATAGAAATGACCCCAAACCACGACATTTGTAACAAGGCTGGCAATCAGAAACTCTCTGCCTCATCCAGATGTGGGTTGTGAGTTTACATAAAGGTCAGTGCAACAGATCCGTTTTGCGATGTGTTTCATAAATGTCACTGATGTAAACTAGCCCTGTTACTGAAAGCATCTCCCAGCCAGCTTCAGCAGTGACTGGAAATCGGCCACTGCTGTTGTGATGGCCACAACCTGCAAACTAGAGTTGTCAGCCTTGCTGTCCCCTTGGCACCACAGATCAGGGGACAAACTTACCTCCTACCCCAACACCCAGTCACACAAATTTCAAATAAGAGTGACTTTTAGGCACGTGTACATCAGCAGCTATGTGCAGATATGATCCATCCACTCCAGGAGAGCCTGGGAATGGGCTTAAACGTGTCCATGAAGTTAGGCTAAATAAGGCAGAATTGCAGCCCAGGTCTGCAGCCCCAGGGGATCCACCTGTCTCTGGTCTTCTCCTGATTAGCCTGGATGCTTTGTTGCTACCTGGCTTTTTATCTCACTGCCTAGGAATTACTTTATGTCCGCACATTTTTCATCCTGGGATACTCTAAAAGGAGCTGAACTTCTAAGCACATGACTCAGCTGCCTTTGAAAATCAGCTCCACCAGGGTGACTTATGCATTCGGACTGAATCACTTAAAACACAAACCCAGCGCAGCAAGTGATGTTGCAGTTCTTCATGTGGTCCCCAGCTATAACCACTGCACTTCACAGCTAGACTTAAGGGGAAAAGGGTCTTTTTCCAGCTATCTCTGATTTTCATCGATGTCAGTCCTGCGGATGGGTGTCCCCATTCATTCAGGATACTGAGTGGCACACAAGTTTTGCAAGAGTCCAAAACACGGGCATCCAGTTTAGTCCAAGTAATCTTTAAAATCCTAAATAAGTGGCATAGGTAAAACAAGCTGCTGTTCTTGGTCCAAAAGCTGATGAAACAGCTGATATAAAACCTGTCATCATAATTTTCACTGTGGATGAACAGGTATGAAAACTGAACTATTTACCATTCCCATCCACAAAGCTCACAGAGGCAAGAACTTCAGTGCACGGGCAGCAGCAGATGTAGAAACTCACAGTGTCCCTCTGCTGTCATTCTTACAGAAAAACAGAAGACTAGAGCTTTCAGACCTCTTGACCTGTCACTGTCTGCAGGCTCCAGGACAGCTCTTCAAACTGCACTGTCCTCATAACCAAATTCCTACTTCATCAGAACCAGTCTGTGGCTGACAGAGGGGTTAAGTATACGGGAGAGAGAAGATAAGCAAAAGACAGCTGCAGAACATTAGAGCAAGTTCAAAATTACTCCTGGACAAAGAGAATTTGCGACTTGAGCCCAAATTCAAAGCACAGGACTTAGAAGAACAGGACAGTATTAATGACCATGTAGCTTAAAAGATCATTTCCTAATTGCTCATCTCCCCCATCTGCTCGGGGCTGACTGACAGATAAAAAATCCTCAGGGCAGATGTTGACAGGTTCAGACAACAGTCATGATCTGAGCAGTTGTTTGTTTTGGTTTTAGTGTTTTGGGTTTTTTTTAAGCAAAATGAGATGAAAGACAGTGGAATTGACTTTATAATATTAGATCCCTCTTTCAGCTAGTTCTGAAGATCACTGATGACTGAGAAACAGCCTGAGATGTAGTTTCTTACCCTGTGGCTTACTCCACTACTAACCTCTTGGCCCAGGGTGCAGGTTAAAAAAACCCAACTGTTTGTCTCCATTGGTGTTGCTAGCAAATTCACTGGAGAGTGACTGCTCAGTGGGTCACTTCCCTTGTCAGGCCAGCAACCTTCCCCCCAAAACACGCCAGCTTGAGTAGCTGCCATTTTAAGCAGTTTCCAATTTGATACAGAAAATGATCATCTGACGGTAGTGATTGCCTGATGGTAGCTGTGGCACCTTGTGCCTTCACAACCATCATGTTTGCCATCTGTCGGCAGGGCTAGTCCTCAAGAGCAGCCGATTCATCAGGTGGAGTCCAAAACTCTGGTTACTGCCATGCACTTATCTGGGGTTACTCCTGATTTACACCCACCTAAGAAAGTCAGAAGACAGATCTCAAGGCTACAACTTGTGGGTGAAATCCTCGGCAGCGCTCACAAAAGGGGATGAGGACAAAAGTGTCCAAAGATGGTGTTGTGTTCCCTCTTGTCTGAAACTGCAGAATTTGGAGAAGCTCCAGGGCTTTGCAAAGCTCCAGCAGCTGCCACAGCCCCGAGAGACCCCCTGAGTCTCAGGATTAGGAAAGTGTGGCATATTGTGGCCAAGCTTGCTCCACCCCCAACAACCCTTGGGTAGGGGTGGGAAAAATCTCTGCCATCTGGGGACTGGCACATGCAAGGCTTAGTGTATTAGTGTGAGAGAATTTCAGCTGGAATTTGGAAGAATTCAGACCAATGTATTAGTATGTAGAGTGAGAGAAGTTCTTACAGAAAGGCCTTGTACTCCTCATGCCCAGTGAAGATCTAAAATTATTGTTGTAGCAGAGTACTCCCACTGATATCAAGGAGCACTCAAACCAGTAGCAGAACCAAAAAAACTCTAAACAAAAGAGCAAATGTGCCATTCTTTTTCACTCTAAAGGTAAAGAAAACCAGTGTTCAGAAAGCTCAGTATTTTTCTTTTGTCCACAAATCATTCTGCTGACAGTACAAGACATCAGGGAAAAGCACTCTGTTCTCACAGTATGTTCTGCACAGCATCAGAGGTTAAGCAAGAAATGCAGCATCGCTAGCAAGCAGTGCAGACCTGCTGGAGGTCCCTTCTGGAGATCTGACTATTTTGGGGGTTCTTTGGCCCATGCAAAAAGCTAGAGGACATGCAGACATCTTTAGTTATGTGGAAAGCACAGGGGTGGAGTCAGGCATTCCTTTTAACCAGCCAGGTCTAGCTATGGAGAAGCTGCACAGGCTCATTTTCCCACACAGCAGCAGGGATCAGCTGAGAAGGGGCATCTTTCAACCAAGGTGCTCTTTCC